GCCTGAGGAGCACTCAATCAAGTTATTGTTTTCCTTCATAAACACTAAGCCAAACAGTAAAAAGAAGAAAGAAGGCTGGCTATTATAAGGAAGGAACTTTGCCTAAGTTTCTGTATTATGCAGTGTATCTGTAGATTTATTTTAAAATGTGTCATCCCTATACAGTTGGCCATATCCAGGATTCCAATTTAACTAACCACAGATCAAAAATATTTGGGGAGAAAAAACAACACATATCAACATTTTTTTCTTATCATAGTACTCTAGCAATAGAGTATAACAACTACTTATCCAGGTATTAAAAGTAATCTAGGGCCGGGGATTTAGCTCAGTGGTTCTGCTGCCTGCCTTGCAAACACAAGAACCCAAGTTTCATCCTGGTACCAAAAAAAAAATATATATATATAATAAAAGTAATCTAGAGGTAATTTAAAGTATGTAAGAGAATATGTGTAGATTATATACAAATACTACACCATTTTATATAAGGGATTAGAGCATCCACAGATTTTAGCATCAATAGAGGTCCTGGAACCAACCCACATTGCTATTCAGGGACAATTGTAATGATTCTTAATGTCTTTTATATAAGAAAACTACAAAAAGAATAAAAAATAACCTCTTTTTCTTGGGCTATGAATCATTTGGGTGGTACAAGAAATATACATTCATAGATTTTCATTAGTACATAAAAACAGAACCTAGAAAAGTTACTTTCTGTTTTTCACACAAGTAGTAAATCATTTCACATCTAGATTAGATAATAAAACCAAAGTAGGAGAAAATGGTTTGTGGCTGCATAGAGAACTTCCACATACAGCTATGAGAAAATTAAAATATTATAAAAAATAATATATTAAACATGGGTATGATCATAAGGGCTTATATGAGAACTACCAATTCTCATAGTAAATTCCTTTTCAAACACCTTCATCCATTTTAAACATCAGAACAACTATTTTTTTATCAGTACAGAAGATCTGAAGTAGAGCAGGTTCATCCACATTTAGTTCTAGCTAGTCTGGACAAGAGATTTACATAGGATGTTGTTTTTCTGCTTATTTGTTTAGAAATAAAAAAAATTTCAAATGAAAATATTTATGACATTTAAAGCAAACATGATGGAGAAAGGGCTAGTTACTTTGCCCCATAACACATAAAATTAAAACTAATATTGTAAAACTGTTTCATTAACTTGTTTTATATGTTTATGTATCACATAATTTATTCCTTTTCTTTTAGCAATCATCAATCCTTAAAAAGTAGCACTGTCCAGATTTTTAGATACTTATGAATTACCAAAGTTGAACAAAAATGTTTAAAAACATTTTAAACACCCCAATTACTGTCAGTGAAATTGAAAATGTATTTAAAAATTTACCAACAAAGAAAAGCCCAGGCCCTGATGGATTCACTGCTGAATTTTACAAGACATTTAGAGAAGAACTACTGCCATTTTTCTTCAAACTTTTCAATGAAATTGAAAGGGAAGCTATACTTCCAAATTCATTCCTGGAAGCAAGTATCACTTTGATTCCTAAACCAGGGAAAGATGCAACTAAAAAAGAGAACTACGGACCAATCTCCTTAATGAATATAGATGCAAAAATCCTTAATAAGATACTAGCAAACAGAATACAGAAGATTATCAAGAAGAGCATACATCCTGACCAAGTCGGATTTAGTCCAGAGATGCAAAGGTGGTCCAACATACGAAAGTCAATAAATGTAATACATTACATTAACAAAGTCAAGGACAAAAACCATATGATCCTCTCAATAGATGCAGAAAAAGCATTTGATAAAATTCAACATCCATTCATGATAAAAACTCTGCAAAAATTGGAACAGATGGTCTATACCTCAACTTAATAAAGGCTATCTATGAAAAAACCAACAGCCAACATCATATTAAATGGCCAAAAACGGAAAACCTTCACGTTAAAATCAGGAACAAGACAAGGATGCCCACTATCACCACTCCTCTTCGATATAGTTCTGGAAATATTAGCCACAGCAATTAGACAACAGAAAGAAATTAAAGCAGTAAAGACAGGAAAGGAAGAAGTTCAACTGTCATTATTTGCTGATGATATGATACTCTACATTGAAGACCCAAAAAAACTCCACCAAAAGATGTCTAGACTTAATTGACAAATTCAGTAGAGTATCTGGATACAAGGTGAACACCCAAAAATCAACAGCCTTCTTATACACAAATAACAGACTCACTGAGAGAGAACTAAGAGGGATTTGGAACCATAAGAGACGTAGAATAGCAAAAGCCATCTTAGGCAACAGACACATGGCAGCGGGTATAACAATTCCCAATTTGAAACTATACTACAAAGCCACTGTGATAAAAATAAACAGGCCTGAGGATCAGTGAACAGACTGGAAGACACAAAAACAAATCCAGATGTACTCAGCTACCTCATCTTTGACAAAGGAACTGACCATCCTCAGTGGAGGAAAGATAGCCTCTTTAATAAATGGTGTTGGAAAAACCGGATTTCAACCTGCCACAGATTAAAACTGGACCCTTATCTCTCACCATGTACTAAATTAAAATCCTAATGGATTAAAGATCTAAACATTAAAATAGAAACATTAAACTTGCTGGAAGGTAAGTTAGGCAGAACTCTGGAAGATACTGGCATAGGAAAAGACTTTATGAACAAATCCTCAGTAGCACGGGAAATAGCAGATAGAATCAACAACTGGGATCTCATCTTATTAAAAAGCTTCTGTACTGCCAAAGAAACTATCAGCAGAACTAAGAGACAACCTACAATGTGGGAAAAAAATTTTACCAGCTGTTCCTCAGACAAAGGACTATTATCAAGAATATATAAAGAACTCAAAACAATCAGGCCCCACAAATATAAAGACCCGATTCAAAAATGGGCATCCGAAATGAAGACATTTCTCAGACAAAGAAGTAAAAGCAGCAAGTAAATATATGAAAAAATGTTCCACATCACTGGTCATTCAAGAGATGCAGATGAAAACAACACTGAGATTCCACCTCACCCCACAAAGAATGGCTGCTATCAATAAATCAACCAATAACAAATGTTGGCGGAGTTGTGGGGAGAAAGGAACCCTTCTCCATTGTTGGTGGGAGTGCAGACTGGTGCAACCACTATGGAAATCAATATGGAGATACCTCAAAGAGCTTGGACTGAAGGTTCCATTTGACCCAGCCATCCCTCTGCTGGGTATCTTTGCAAAAGAAATAAAAGAATCATATCACAGAGATATGCACTCATGTTTATAGCGGCACAGTTTGTAATAGCTAAAACTTGGAAACAGTCCATTTGCCCATCAGTTGGAAACTGGATAAAGAAGATTTGGTTTTTCTATAAAATGGAATATTACTCAGCCATAAGGAATGAGAAAATAGATTCATTCACAGGAAAATAGATACATATTGAAGATATACTCCTAAGTGAAATAAATAAGGCACACATGTGTAAATACCGAATAGTTTCTCTGGTGTGAATAATCTGCAATGATACAGAAGATCCTAATAAGATTACTGACATTGAGAAATGGGAAGAAAGGAGCTAAAGGTGTAGGGAAGGTGGGATGGGTAAGGGAAGGGTAATAAGGGAAAACAAAAAAATGTGAGATAATGAAAAGATGGAAATAAAGTGTTTGTAGATGGGGAGGGGAGGAGGGGGTGAAGGGAGGGCAGAGGTAAGGGGAAAAAATGAGAATCAAGACTTGTCATGTAGAGGTACAAGATCCCAACAATGAATGTAACTGTACTGTATCCCTAAAATGTACTAAAAATCTCAATTAAAGCTGAAAAAAAAAAAAGTGGCACTGTCCAAAGGGAAGAATGTTGGACTCGGAATCAAGAGTTTTAACCTTATCTTGTTGTACTACCTACTGAATAGCCTTGGGAACAGTGTGATCCATCCTAGAATTTTCATTTAGAATTTTCATTTTAGGGTTCTATAAGCAACATTCACCTGCTTCAACACAGACATTTTAAAAAAGGGTTTAAACCATACAAAAATGACATATTGGTGCAACACACACACATACACACAAAGACGTTTTGAGACAGGTCTTGCTAAGTAGTCCAGGTTGACCTTTAAATCTCTATGTAGCCCAGGTTGGCCTTGGACTCATGGTGACCCCTGCCTCAGCATTCTGCATGTTAGGGTTACATGTGCATCATCATGCCTGGCAATAAAGATTTAACTTTATGCATTTCAGGAAGACACACTGGGAATATCTTATTTCTCAGACTCTAACATACACATTATTTTCCCATCATAACGATTAAAACATATCTGAAATAGGAAATGTCTTAACAATCAGTGAAATCTTATAAACCACTGTTGGTCATGCAGAAGTTAATAACTGTTATGGATTATGCAAGTATGAACATTAGAACACAAACATCAAATATGAACAATGAATATTAGCAGCTTAGAATAAAATCTTAGAAATAGTCATGGAGCAATCTAAGCTATCAACCAAGATTACTGGAGTTAAAAATAACTTTACAACATCAATAACTGAAAGGCTGGTTTAAAAGCCTAACATCATTGGGTTTTAGTTCTTTTACTGGTTCTTTTAAGAACTGTAGCATTGTAATGTTCTCTATACTACAGAAAAGTACTGTGTGGTAAAACACGGGTCTCAACAATGATAATAAATCATTTAAAAGAATATTAAAAAGGTATAGGAATACTTACCCAATACGATTCATTTTCCTATCTGTGCACTCATGCACAAGTTGGATATAAGATTAAAACTGTTCTCAAGGTAAATCTAAACAGACTATTCCAGGAAAGGGAGGAAAAAAATCTAAGGTACAGAAAAATTTTACATAAAAAGTATTAATATATATTAAATAGTAAACCCTCAGATAATAGTATGTTTTATATTCATGAGATACAATTAAAATCTGTTAGCAATTTGTAGAAAAAGAAAATATTTTTGCTTAATTCTATTAAAAAACACTCCCTTTGTAGAATTACCTGTAAACCACAGCAGCCTACAGCATTCATTATGGAGGCATTGTGAATAACTCGATATGGAATTCCCAGCTTTGTTGCTCTCAGAATAAGATCACTGTGTGTTGTAGCCCTGCAGTGAAAAATCAGGTTGGAATTTTAAATGGCACTAATTCTTAAAACAGTAAAGTTATCCTAGTTTATGAGTCGTCAGTCAACTGCTTTTCCTAAATTATGGATAGTATGGGTTTGCATAAGGCTTCTAATTCAGCTTGCATACATATTTGTTTGTTTGTTCATTCTTTCATTCAGTGTTAAGGGATCAAGCCCAGGGCCTTGTCCACACTCCAATTTTCTGGGGTTTTAGCAACCAAGTATGAATCTATATATGTCCATCAAAGGGCTAAATTGCAACTATAACACAAGCAGCTACATACTTAAGAAGGGGAAGTTTACTTGTTTGTCGTCCTCTTAATACCTGTAAAAAAATCTGTCAAATACAACCTCTGTGTTCAGCAATTTAACACTTGAGTAGCAATTCTTAAACTCTTTGTCTCAGGGCCTCTTGAAATTCATTTCCTTAATTTTTAGTTGTATATATTTATAGTATACAATGTAGTATTTCAATATGTATACAATATATAATGATCAAAGAAAATGGAACATCTCTCACCTCTGAAATTTATCATTTATGTTGGAAATACTAGATATTTTAAAATACTTACTGTTGTCAACCATATTTATCCAACTGTGCTGCAGAATATCAGAAGTAATTCCTCCTACCCAGTGACCACCTTCATTCTTATCCCTCCCCACTGCACCTTTCCCAGGCACTAGTAACCCTATTTTATTCTTTACTTCTCTGAGATCAAGCTTTAGCTTCCATCTAAGACCCTTTAAATTCTTATAATTACTGCTTTAGAGTTCTACATTATAACACAAGTAGATCTATTTTTTACTTCTGCTCTATTTTGAAGGCTTTGTTTTTGTACTTTGAAATAAAAGGAAAAATAAAGAGAACATTTTCATAGACTGATAGTCTTTCAGTCTTTATTTTGGAATTCTGTCTGACAGAATTCCACTCAGAATTCACACCTGTTTAGCAGTTATTGTATTTATAAATGTTTTCAGTCTGGTTATTATATATAATTAGTGTATGTGTGTGTGTGTGTGTGTGTATATATATATATGCATATATATATATATTCTGCCTATTACCTTTCCTTTCTTGAGGTAAGTTTCACAACTATAGCTAGGCTGAGGTACAAAGAGAATATATGTATATATGAATACAGTGAAATGTAACCTCATAGCAATTTAAAAGTACATCATTACAGGCTTTTTATCTTTCCTGATAAAATTTCTACAATTGAATTCTAATGCTGCTATGATATACTTGAACTTACAGGACATAGTGAAAGTAGAACTATGAGGGAAATTTATAACAGGTGAATTCCCACATGAAAAAAACAAGAAGCTCAAATGAATAACCTAATGTTGAACCTCAAGGTTCTAGAAAAAGAAGAGTAACTTAAACTCAAAGCTCATGAAAGGAAGGAAAATGTGAAAATCACAGCAGAAATATATGCAACTGAGACTAAGAAAACAATATACAAAGAATTAATGAATCAAATAATTGGCTTTTTGGAAAGATTAAATAAAACAGGCAAATCCTCAGCCAAAAACTTATCAAAAGAAGGAAAGGAAAGCAAAGACCCAAATCCATGCAATCAGGAATGAAAAGGGTAAATCACAACAAATCCTCCAGAAATCCAGAAGATCATTAGTATCTACTTTGAGAACCTATACTCCAATATGTTAGAAAATCCAGAAAAAATTTCCCTCATACATATGAATTTCCAAAATTGAATTAAGAAGATATAAAATTCTAAATAATGCAACATCAGTTGATGAAATTGAAGAAAAGAAAAGAAAAAAAAACTAACAACAAAGAAAAACCCAAGTCCTAATGTATTCACTGCTGAATTCTACAAGAACTTTAAAGAAGATCTAATGCCACTACTCTTCAAACTCTTTAATAAAATTGAGAAGGAAGCAATACTCCCAAAGTCATTCCTGGAAGCAAGGATTACTCTGATACTAAAATCAGAGAAGGATCCAATAAAAAAAGAGAAATACAGTTTAATCTCTCTAATGAATACAGACACAAAAATCCTCAATAAGATACTGACAAACAGATGCAGTAAATAATGAGAAAGATTATACACAATGATGAAATAGGATCCATCCCAGGGATCCAAGGCTGGTTCAACGTACACAAATCAATAAATGTAATTTACCACACTAACAGAACTAAACACAAAATACACATGATCATCATAACAGATGAAGAAAAAGCATTTGACAAAATCCACCACCATTCATGACAAAAATCATACAGAAAATTGGAACAGATGGTTTTATCTCAATATAATAAAAGCCATTTATGACAAACCAACAGCCAACATCATACTAAATGGTTACAAACTAAAAGCTTTCACTCTAAAATCAGGAAAAGACAAGGATGGCCACTATCACCACTCCTGATCAGCAGAGTTCTAGAGATATTAGCCAGAGCAATTAGACAACAGGAAGAAATAAAAGGAATATGGACAGGAAAAGAAGTTAAATTATCATTATTTGCTAATGACATGATATTCTACATAGAAGCCCCCCAAAAACCCCACCAAAAAACTCCTAGAATTACCACATTCAGTAGTGTAGCTGGATATAAAGTCATCACTCAAAAATCAATACCATTCCTGTACAGGAAAAAATAAATCTACTGATAGAGAAATCAGGAAAACAATACCTTTCATAAAGGCATCAAGAAAAGAGAAATACTTTAGGAATCAATCTAATAAAGGAAGTAAAAAGAGTTTTACATTGAAAGTACTCTGCAAAAGGAGACTGAAGAGGGTATCAGAAAATGCAAAGATATCCCCTGTTCCTGGATATAGCAAAAATGGCCATACTTTCAAACCTGTTAAACAGATTTAAAGCAATTCTGATCAAAATAACAATAGTATACCTCACAGAATTACAGAAAAAAATCCTAAAATTCATATAGAACCAGCAAAGGAACTTCTGGACAACAAAGGCAAGGTGGAGGGGCATCACAATCCTTGACTTGAAATGATACTGCACTGCCACTGTGATTAAAAATAGCATGATTCTGGGGGAAAAGAACAGATCTGATGATCTGTGGAACAGATTAGAAGACACAGAAACAACTCCAAACACACTCAACTATCTTATCTTTGACAAAGGGGCCAAACACTTTCACTGGAAGAAAGATAACCTCTTTAATAAATGGTGCTGGGAAAACTGACTTTCCACAGGCTGAAGAGTGAACCTAAACCCGTATCTCACACTGTGCACTAAACTAAAACTGAAATGGATCAAATACCTAAATATAAAAACAGAAACAATCTGTTGGAAGATAGAATAGGTAAAACTCTTGAAGACATAGTTCTTCAGACTTTTACCAGCTACTCCTCAGACAAACGACTAATATCTAAACTATATTATAAAGAACTAAAAAAGAAAAAAAAATCTCCACTGAGGGCCAGAATTGTAAAAGGAGAGAAACTATTATACTTTTGTGCCTCCCCTGGGGATAAATAGCAGTGATTTATATTCCAAATAGGATTCAATCTCCTGGGTGGGAGGCCAAGGTCTTAACCCAGCCTTCTCAGGAAATATCCCTGACCCCCCACCCTTACTGAAAATCCTTGTACGCTTGCTTTGAGACTTGCTCCCCCATTTGACTCTGATTCCCATTCAATCATTATCACCTGAGTGACTACTTGTAATCTTACTGGTTGTTCGTGGTTTTGCCCAACCTCATGCCCACCTTGTAATTTTCCATTGGGTCTTACAGTTTGTCCAATTTTGTACCCATGTTACCACATGGCTTTGCTGTATAAAATAAAATATCTTGGAGAAGTAGGGTGAGGGGGCAACCCACTTTCCAGTCCCCCTTCTGTCTCTGTTAGCTTTCTTTCCCTCAATAAATTTTTCTTACTTAAAAAAAAAAA